TCCCTTCAAGCGGAGTCTCCCAATGGGCGGGCTCCTCGGCTCCTAACTCCTCCTCAAGTGTGAAATCTGAAAATGTTATTTGTAGGGGGTGAGCACGAAGCTCTGTAGCAAAATCCTCTCAACTCATACAAGGTTTATAAAAATATATAAAAGGGTCGGTCTCATTTTTCAACATAGCATAGATACATAATTTGAAATGAAACAGGTGCATTTTTCAACGAATCTCAAGTTTAAGTAACAATAGTAATAGAAAGGAGCAATTTCAACCAAGTGCTAATAAACATCCATTGCCAAAATATAAATCATTTCCCACACATGATATCATATTGTCCTCTCTAACGGGAGCATCCTTACAAGGAACCTCTCACCCTCAAGATTTGGTTTCTCAAGCATCCTTACAAGGAACCTCTTGAGAAAATCACATACTGTCCTCTTTTGGTGTGAGCATCCTTACAAGGAACCTCTCACCCTCAAGATTTGGTTTCTCAAGCATTCTTACAAGGAACCTCTTGAGATGGAATGAACATCCTTACAAGGAACCTCTCATCCATGTTCATTCCAACAACCATACAAGATCACATCATCCCAACAATCGTCACACATAACCAAGGATTCCATAAATCTCCAATTTACAAGCAAATTTCCAAAGATTCACAAATCCATTATGAGGCAATTTCAATAAACAATTAGGAAAATACAAGAGATCACCACAACATCATTTATTACTCAACACAAACCACTAAAGTTTTCAAAGCCAAGATTGAGTGACTATAGAGAGAAAAATCCATATTTCTCAAAAGTTAGGGTTGAGAGCAAAAACAAGAGAAAGTAGTTACCCAACCATAACATTGTTTAGAACATGATAATATTTGCATAGACATCAAGAATCAAAGGTTTCCTAACATACATCTAAGATTTAGATCAAAAAAAAAACCTATATGTATACATAGCCCTAGTCTCAATGTAAGAGAAAAAGAAGAAATCCCCTACCTTGAATCAAAGTTTCAAACCAAAAACCCAAGCTCTAATGACCTCCTTTCTCCCTTTCCTCCTTTTCTATATCTTCCCCAAGGGTGCTAAGGGGTTTGGGGGTGAGAGATGTGAGAAAAAATGGAAGAAATTGGCTGGATTCTGTGTTTTAAACACAGCAGTCCGCGACAAATCACTGTTCATGGCTGAATTTTGAGTTTTTTTTCCAAAATTACAGTTTTACCACTAGAAATCTCCAATTTGATCCATACGACTACCCTAAGGTTTTTCGACATTTCGGATTCATTTTTAATGTTATTTTAACCTAAAAACATTGCTTTTTATGATTTATTTCAAAACTAAAATAAATTCACACTTGGAACATTAAAATTTCTATTTTATTCCTTCGAACTACTATAGGTGATATCCTTACGATTTTAATATATATATGGTTTATTCTTAAGTCATTACATATAGAAGAATCACTAAACAGGTACATTAATATATTAATGTAAACATATGGAGTTTTACACCTTCAAGGTCTAATAAGAAAGCACAACCCTTTACTATCCAAGGAGCACCATAGTGCAGATTTTTGGTCAACTTCATAGAATAAACTGATTTGACTCAAGTATTTCTAGGAGGTGTAACCTATATGGTTGGAAATATATACGAGTTAGGGTTCTAACAAAAATAACGGTGCACAATTCGGACTTTCCAATAAAGAGTTATGATGAAATTAGCGAAAGGTAGTCTGCCGGACAGATTTTTGGACAGTGTAGACACTACTTCGTAATTTGGACATAACTCATTCCTCCTAGTTCCGATTGAGATGATTCAAGGTGATATGGATTCCTAAGAGAGAGCTCTACAAATTTCATGTTTTAAGTTTTGAGAGATATGGACTGCATCAAGGTCGAAATCGAGCTTGATGTTACAGCCAGTGCACTGTTCATCCCTTTTTCATTCTACCAAATTCAAACACACATCACTACACATATCCCCATTTTTACAACAATTATTTACTATATATCTATATACATATATAAAAGAAAATGCGGGGTTGCTGCTGAGCGGAAGATGCCCTGGATCCTCTGTCGAGGCCATCGTGCCTATGTTTGACCCTTCTCTCCTCCTCTACCTGAGGATCCCGGTCACGCACTTGACCCCGACTGAGAACTCTTGAGGATGGGGTGGAACTGGTCCCTGTAGATGGGGCACCGCCGGTCGATCCTCGACCCCTCCCGGCAGCAAGGGCTTGCCTCTGCCTCAGGAACCCCAGGTCAATGCGAGGCGTGCTGGACATCGCGACCTCGAGAACGTCCTCGGTGTCTAGAGATTGTAGAACTTGGAAGTCCAACCACAAATCTCCTCCCGAAGTCCCCACCTCGGCGTCCGAAGGAACAAAGTCCTCTCTGACCCCGAGCTCTTCAACTACTCCCTCTACTTCTGCCTCCGAAGCCCGATCAGGGTCTTCTTCCAAGTTTTCCTCGACCTCTTGCCTCGCCGCCTGATCGAAGAGTTCAGACCACCGCAAATGCTCAAAAGGCTGAGGAAGCTGTGAAAATTTCTTATACCCGGGGGTGTAATTCAGCAGGATGTGGGCTGCCCGGCCGAACCCGTTGTCACCAGTAAATCTCCAAACCGTGACTAGGTCGGCAAAGTTCACCAGCGACCGAGGGGGAGGAGCTGTTTCCCGAGCAGGGATATCTGCACAAACAAAAAAAAAGTAGTCATGAACATGGGAAATCTGGAGAACAAAATAATAAACCCGAAGGAACCGATGTACTTGTCGTTCTCCATTCCAGAGGGCATAACAAGCCGTTATACTCGGGACCAACACCTCTCTGCCAAGATCCCTAGAAAATAAGAATATCGTCCTTGTACCCCTTGTCCGAGTCGGGAAGATGAGTTACAAGGTACATGGAGGGGTCCCTGACCTTGAGGTAGAAGTGTTGGTGAGGCATGACTCTCAAGAGGGAATAACAAAAAAAGAGATCGTTCAGCCCAATATTTACCCCGAGGCGCCTATTGAGCTCTAAGACCCCCATAATTATTCTGAAGACATTAAGGCAACACTGCCCGGGGAAGAGGCGGAAGTGAGAGAGGAATTGTAGAAGTAAAGGGGGTAAAGGAAACCTAATTCCGCCCTCTATTATGGCCTTGGTATAAAAGGGCATAGCATCCTCGGCCCCGAGGGTAGGAGTGTGCACCACCGAGTCATAATCCTCTATGTCTACGCACGGGGGAATGCCGTACTTGAACTTAAACCTATTAATCTACTCACCACCCTTTACTTTATACTTCCCTGACCCCGAAGAACCAGCCTGAGGATTCTCGGGAGCAGGGCGACGACGAGGCATCTCTAAGAAAGTGAGAAAGTGGAGGGTATTTTTTCTTAAAAATCCCTGAGGAAGCTTCCCGAGAATTAGTCGCTAAGTATCAACCGGAGACACCTCCAGTCATCGGAAAACAAAAAGGGATAGGAGGAAGAAAAGAAGAAAGAAACTAGGACTCACCCGAATGCCAAACGGAGTTTTTTCTGGAAAACTTTAGGCGACTCCTTCCAGAAAGTTCAGAAGCAACGATGGGTCTGCTGGCCTTAAGACTTTAAGGAAGAATGGGCAGTCGACGATGGAAGAGGAAAGAGATCTCCGGCGAAGATTCAGGAAAAGGCTCTCTTGAGGAAGTTCGGAATGGCGAAACAAGAAAATACAAGAGGAACCCCATTTATATAGTGGCAGTTTCATCATTGGGCGCGAAAAATGAAACGGCGCATTTAATGCACACGACATCCTAAGCCGGGGAAAGCGGCTCGAGGCAATGATGAAGCATTTATGGTTGTTGGGAAACCCTTCGTCTCCTTACGACGTGTGCCCTCGGTGTCAGAAGATCGAAGGTTGGAGGGCAGTTGATGAGACTTTTCTGAAATACTCAATGATGAAGACACGTGTCTTCGGTATTTACCAAAACACTGTTGCTAAGATCAAGCACCATCGGCGCATAAAGGTCCTCGCTCCCGAGGTACTCGTCATATAGGATCATGGCATTCAGTACGAGTTACAACCAACACGTAGCCTCGGTCTGATATGGTACCTCGGTCGGTATACCTCCCTCGGTTCCGAGATGGCCTTTCCTCGGTGCCGAGAGGTACCCCGTCCTGGACACTTCCTCTACTCCAGGATAAGCTATTGACGTACAGGTCATTAGCCTATGCTAGTCTAGGCTATTCATCATGACCTCGTCTTACACAATTAGTGTCAGAACGTATTGGAATGCAGGGGCCACAGCCAATGGGGGATGGACGCGTGGCATATGATATCACATCGAAGACAGAGAAACCGCATGCCGTTGCTGACACGCGACTTGGGAAAGCAAACGATTAATTACATCATTCTCTTGACGAGACCGCATTCAATGCGGTAAGACTCGGAAATGAAAGGCAATAAATGCTCCTAATACAGAGCATTTATTGCATCCTTCCCGAGAGGAGTACATTGTACCGTCGGCATCCCGATGACCCAGCATTGATTGCTCGGGACCCCGAGCAGTTAAGAAGAGAAGACATTCCTCATCAGAATCAGTGCGCACAGTACCTGTACCTAATGATCACTTACTGACTACACTGACAGAAATCATGAGCTTTTGAGGTATAAATACTCCTTGCAAAAGGCAAGACGGGTATGCAACAAAAAACTCTTTACTACAATACACACTCAGTGTTTTCTCCTTCCTCTCTCTCTTTCTCAAAGACTGACTAGATCGTCGGAGGGGATACGCCGAAAAACACTCCGACGCCCTTCTAACTTGTTCTTCTTTGTTCTAGGAACCTCTTTCAGCCTTACTGGATCGTTCTTCCGCTCCCCCAGGGTCTCCCGTTGTCGTTCCAGGTTACCACCGGACCTCGCAGGCTGTTCCAAGCAGCGTGGTTGGTCACTCAACTGGCTCACTCGAGTTCACCAAGTGAGAGATCTGTTCTCGTTTTTTATATTGTGCAGGATCTTGCACGCACAGTAATCGTCTTCCATAGCACTCAGGATCGATTTCATCGCTGCCCCCTTGTTGCTCTTGTCGATCCAGATCTGGTTCATCGCTGCCCCTTGTTGCTTTGTTCAGAGACGAGAGAGGCGGAGAAGAAGATATACTGCCAGAAATTTCAGAATTGTAGAAACATCCCCAGTAAAATCAGAAAATTTTAAAATTTTCCCTAAAAGTTCCAAAAATTACAAGAAATCCCAGAAAGTTTCAGAATTACAAGAACATCCCCAAAAGGTCCAGAAAATTAAAGAACCACCCAGTTTCTCCTCTTCAAGTTTTTTTATTTTCCTCTGGTTTCTTTGAAGTGTGCCGCGTAGTTTTAATAACACAGAAAGGCATAATGCTTCGCTCCATACTCTCACTTGTTTAGTTTTTTTTTTGGAAAGAGAGAGACTTAAACCTTTGATTTAAAAAAACAAAACTTTACAAGACGAGTAGTACCATGGGGCTAAAGACCGATTGGTTCTCACTTGTTTAGTATGGTGGGTTTCAGTTGCTCAAGGTTTGCACTTTTTTTCTCTGTCATTTTTTTTTTACCTTTGGTTACCTGTAACATATTCCAGGTTTGTACAAAAGAGTCGTTCGGGACGTTATAAACAGTAAGTTCCAGGCAAGCTTGAGCACAGCTCCAATGCTGCTGAACTGAGCTCAGCTGTCAAGAACTTAGCCAGGCTTACAGACAAAAAGTTTAAAAGAAGGAACAAACACGAGAAACATCTCCGGAATAAAAGTGGCATGTTTTGCAAAAAGATTTAACTTACCTAGAATTCCTGTATAGTAGGAAAGTGGCACATCTGTATTTCCAATTTTGAAACAAACCGCTGGATTTGAAATGAGACTGTACTCTTCCCATCCAGTCATTCCCCAAGCCAAGTCACCTTTTTTGAAGTTTGGAAGCCCAGAATCCACAACTTTGGCCACTCCATATCCAGTTATAGGCTGTATGACAACAAGAGCAAAACTCAAGAACAATAAAAGCTCATTGTTCCCTGTGAGGTATTTGAAATTCCTGACTATGGTAGACACTCAATGATTTGCCTTTTGAGTTGGCTCAAAAATCACTGTACAATATTACCTTTTTCCTTATCTACCAATGGTTCTACATTTTGCCAATCAGTGGCTTCTATAGTTTTAATGCATAGTGTTTGAATCAACTTGAGGTCACCTCAGGTTACATAACAATCAGCTGTTTTACTAAAACAGACCTATTAATGGTTGTCCTACCTAATTAACTGATGCTATTGATAGGATATTAATGGTTGTTAGTTAAGCATGCAGAACGACTGCGGCCCATAAGTCAGCTGGTATCCTGAAAATATACACTGTATGAAGATGGAGAGTTGAAGGCACTGCAAACACATCTCTAGTCATTTATCATATTATCCACACAATACACTTAACATACATAACCATAGAATTTTGATTCATCTGATCTTTATATAATAGAGTTAGTTTATTAGCTATTAGTTTGATTAGTGGTTAAGACCTTGGGTCTTCATGTTTTGTAGTTGCAAAATCTTTTGCCTAAGTTTTTGATGAAAGAATACTTTTAACTTTGATATGTGGTTTTCGTCTTTTTCAGTTCTTTTTTGTTCTTGATTTTTTCGATTAAACTTTTGTGTGGTGTGAGATTATTTTGAGTGTTTTATATTATTTTGGGATCGTACGGGGTTTGTCCTTATTTAAATTTGAGTTTCTCTTATTTTGTAAAAAATTATATTTTTTTCCATTGGAGAGATCTATACCAAATCAAATTTTTTACTATCTTTTTACACAAATTTAGGATATGAGTCTTCATTGCACTCAAATTTACATTGTAATCACTATAAATTTGCCTAATTTTACATTTTAATCACCAATTTGCACTTAACCCTTGTAGTTTTTAATAACATACAATCCCCATTTTAATGTCCCGAATAATATTCACAGTTTTGACTTTCAATCACAGCCATCGATTAAATAAGAATTGTTTATACAATAGCAAATCCATCAATGAGTATAATATTTTTAAATTATGACTTACCCAACCAGGATAGAAGGACTCGACGTAGCTCCCTTCCATCTTCCTCATGCGAGATCGCATGTAGGGATCACAGGAAAGGTAGAGATTCTTCAACAGAACAGCATTCGAACCTTCTGAAACCTTCAATTTGATAGTACTCGTCTTGAGAATCATGTCTGACTCTTTGGGAAATCCAATCACGTAGTCCTTCAGAATTATCTGTTTGTTGCTCACTTCCTCTCCTTCCATTGTCGAACTCTACGACGAGCTTTCTCTCTCTACAAAGAAGAACACACTCCCTCTGTCTCTCTCTCACTTTAAAAACACGCACGCACAACACAAAGCTGTATGTATGTATAAGTGTGAGTGTGGGTGTGTGTACAATGTGTGTGGTGTGTGAATAAACGGGAAGGCGGTAATATAAGTGTTAATCAAACCGAATTTTACGAGTGTAAATTCGAGTTTTGTAAGTTTGAGTGGAGTTTTTAAGATTAAACAAGTTTAAAAAATTTATTTAAACTCAATTTGTCTAAAACACGAGTCGAGTTCGAGTCGAACTTTTTTTGAACTGAGTTCAAATTTGTCTTGATTAACACCTCTAAACTGTACCGTCAGGGGTATTGAAAATTATAATTTTTTAATGTTAAATTATAATTTTTAAAAGGCATGCTCGATGACGAAAGATTGGGATTGATATCAAAAGTCTATGATCAATCTTGGGGTTGGTAATCGATCATCATCTCGCATTAAATAGCTGTAATCTCTCCTTTCAAAAGTGTAATTTTACTATAAAAAATTATAATTGGCATTACTGTTCTAATTTTTTTTTCCGATACTATACACTTTTCCCATTTAAATTGTATGTGTGGGATAGGAATAAATATTGAGTGTAACAGTAACATTAAGTTTGTATTATCGCGTGGTGAAATTGTTTGGTAATAAACAAACAAATAGGTTATTGAATCTCACTTTTTAAATATGTGACGGTTAGTATTTTACGTGGAAAGTTAGTATCATTAAATAGTTACACCACATGATAATTATGATGTAGTATAATCATTACACTCAATATTTACGTGAAACAAGAAAAAGACTATGGTTCCCAAAAAAAATTTAATATAGTACTGATGAGTGCGTGAAAGTGCATTCTAAATACCTTATTATTAGATTAAAATATTAAAATTTGAATAGAAATAATTAAATATAATTTATATTATTTAATTTAATATCTATTCACACTGAGATATATTTGAGCATGATTTTATAATATTTTAAATCTTAAATATTGCACTATTGGTTGGTGAGAGATAATTTATAATTGGATTTTACACTTAACATTTTTGGGACTTTATTGTTGAGCTTTTATATTTATTTTTGTATTTTTATGGCAGCCTATAGAATAAAAAAGTTGAAACTGATGTTGTTGTCATGTGGGTCTAACATTCATATTTTTTATTGAATTTTATTATTTTCAAATTACACAAGATTTAGAGTTTAGGAGTCGACATAAAAAGGTTTGAGCTCTAAGAGTTGGAATAGAAAAGTTGATAAAGATATTTTTCAAAAAGGGTATACACTTTTAAAAGGTTTTAGCTTTTTTACTTTGTGGGCGGCTGGAAGAAAAGAAAATGCAGAGGAGGCGGCTGCTTCCGGGAGGCCGCGCAGATCAGAGAGCAGAAAAATGCCGATGACCACCGGTTTGTTCTATTTTTTTTTGGGAGATTTTTATTGTCCATTATATTTATGGGTAATTAAATTTTCAGGTAGGGGCGCGGGATAAACTTGCACAATAGATGATATTTTATATATTTTTAATGTATACATTTAATTTTCAATTAGTAAGACTCTTTTGTTTTATCATTATCAATTACTTTTCGATGTTTTCGTCTCTGAATAATCATATAATTTATTTTGTTTATAGATTTAGTCAGGCTTTTTCTATAGAATGTATTAACTCTTTGATTATGTTTGGATCAATTATTTATCTATATTGATTTACTTTTTTGCTGCAATATCGCTTCCTGAATATATTGTCGTCATTGAATTTTCTTAATAATAAAAATAATTTACGTATTTTAAAAGTGGTGAATGATTTTGCAATGAGTTACATTTGGTTTAATTTTGGTTTATAAATCTATACCTTCCGATTGAGAATTTTGGGAATTGAGTTCCTAGTTGAGTTATTCAATGAATTAAGAATAATTAAAATACTAGATTTGTGCACGAGATTCCCGACGCTTTACTGTTTGTCAAATTTGAATACTTTTTTTTTCATTAGTCACTTTGCTTCACTGTAAGTGACATTTAAAATTAATCTTTGTTCTCTAGTAATCATTTAATATATATTTTTTAATTTCTTTGTCCCTTATATTATTTTTTTAATTTGTTTCTCTGTGGAATCGACACTCCAAAACTGTGCTACAACTACCGCGTTATTTTTTTGGCGTAATTAAGTACCAAAAATTCTTATAGTAAAATCATACCTTTTGTAAAATGTAACCTATGTTTTAAAAAATTATAATTTTCAGTATGGTACAGATGACGATATCGTAGTCTTTCCCCTTTTAAATTGTGTGCGTCTGATAGAGAGAGAGAGGGGTTGCTGGGTTTGAATGCATTTGTTGATTGAGATTGGTTGCCTGGTTGAGATTAGGTTTATAGTTTGGTGGAGGTTGGAAGGTAGCTGTGTAGTAATAATTAATGGTCACAAGAAGGAAATGTTGCATTTGTAGTCTCTCAATCTTCCATAATATAAAATAGAACAAATTTCAATAAGTTTTTTCGACGATTTTAAATAGATTCATCAAACAGTCACCAATATTCCTCTTAAAATCATTCCCATTACACTGTACTTTCAGACACGAGTTACCCTTAGTATTTGACAAAGGGCGACCGAGGCTTTGGTTATTGTGGAGTCTAGATTAGTACCCTTGAATGTAGAGATATTATATTTGTGACTTGAACTTTTGACGTCTATGTCACAATAAAACTGATGGTAGAGTAAAACGTGGATGAGCAGAATGTTTATGTATAGGTAAGGTTCGATCTGAGATACTAAGCTCGAGAGAATGGTGCTATGATTCAGGGATAAGGGTTGATTCGCACCGAGGAGTTGTAGTGGTTCACCAACTCTGGAGCTCGACTAATCCATTCTTTAATGGAGCCTCTTGCTCCTGGGATCTATATTGATAATTTTCAGAGGGTTACACAGTGTTCTTGATATAATTTTAATGGCCTTTTTCTGTAATGAGGACGTTGTATAGTATTTATAGCCTACTTCCTAATTCCATGGGGTCTAAGGCGAGATCATTGCCTTCATTCCATAACATTTCTAGTGATTTCAGGGGAAGATTTGGGTAGTTAAGGATCGTCCACTGAGACTGGCGCCTATTACTATTGAGGGAGTTTTAGGTGGTTACCAGCTGTCTTCCACTCATTTTCTTCAAGGGGCAGGTTGAGAAAACCCGAGGTCAGGACCTCAGAGCTCAAGCATGTGTGGCTGAACTCCTTTCCTGACCTCAATTCCCAAGCTCAGACTTATAATTTTTCTCAGGTATCATTAGTTGCTCCCCAGTCTCTGGTCAAAGTGGGTTTGAGCAGGGCTGAGCTGTAGTTGAGTTAAGTCACACCTCCATGTGGTGACCTTGATTTGCACACGAAGAGTCCTTTCTGACAATTTTAAGCAATCATTTCGTCCTTGTTTCTCGCACATATCCTGCATTTTGAAGTCCTATGTACACCAAGCTTTAAATGCTTTTGAGACAATCGGAATCGCCTCACTTCCTTGTTGATTTCTCTTTCTAGTCTCTGCCTCCTCTCTTTCTTACGATTTTAGCTTCCCCAATCTGTTGGTATTCTTAGGGTTTTTAGTGAAAATCTGCTTCCCTCACTTGATCGGAATCGCCTCACAATCGGAATCGCCTCACTTGATTTGATGGATAATTCAATGTATGTGCCCAGATTCTTCAATAGGATACATGCACATTTGGGTGTGTTCGGCGAATGATTCAAAAATTTATCTTATAGATGTAAGCACTTTTCAAAGGGATAAGATTGTTTGATGTCTAAAAAAATTTGAACCTGTCAAAAAGTGCATCTTGAAAATGCCCATTCTAGAGAAGTCTCTTAAGGGAGCTTCTCAAAACCATCGTATTTGCACTTCTCAAGAAGTAGTTTTTAATTTCACCTTACTTTTCAAAATTAGCCTTAATTTTTCACCTTACTTTTCAAAATTAGCCTTAATTTTTGCAATTAAATATCCGTTTTAACCATACTTCATAGATAATTTACATATCTCAGATTAAGATAGAAAACAAAATAAGATATATTGTACTAGAACACTAGTTATAGATAGATATGACTAACTAGTTGTAGATAGACATGACTTCTTATAGATAGACATTAGTTCAAAAACACTTCTACAATATACTTTTATCAAACAGTTAGATATTTTAAAAAGTCCATGTTAATGATGAACTTTTATTTTGAGAGGTTACACTAAACGCAACCTTAAGCTTTATAATCGAGTCTTATCCTTTGTGTTCAAGTCAAACTGTTTTGAGTTAATGTTAAATATTAATTAATAATATTAATCAATTTTATTTAATTCATTACACCATATATTCTTGTCAATAGCCACATTTTCTGTTAGATCACAAGCAATCGTTCTTTTTTTACCGTTTCATATAAAGTTAATGTTTGTCTATCTTTATCCAACGAGTTATTATTAATTAGTATCACGTGAGTTTTATATAGTCCTAGTTTTATACACACGTGCTGGTAGATATTGGTTGGGTCATGGATCGAACTGGGGCGCCCATGGTGGGTCGACCCAAATTAAGGAATGCCTAAAAGGGTATGTCTTTTGAAGGTATTCTTTACCATCCAAAAAACATATCTGTTAAATATTAATATACATATTCCTATAGGATGTGTCTCTTAATGACACTTATTAGTTGCCTATATAAACCCAAGACAATCCAATAGATAACACCTTTGATAATTCATCTAACGTTAAAACTCCCCTACTCTCTTCTCTCTTTCCTTACATAACATTTGTAAGGCTTTTGTACTGTGAAAAACCTAGTGTTGATTCGTCTTATGTAACAACATCAAGTTGCTCGAGCAATTAAAGAAAAGGAATTGATTTGGATTCTAAAGTACGTAAAACATTCTTAAACGATTTTTGATTTAAAGCGAATAAGGTATGTCTTTAATCCTACGCTTCCGCAATATGTTATACGATTCCC